TGACTTCCGTAAGGTGATATCTTAGTGTAGTTTTGATTTGCATTTCCCTGATGATTAGTGATGATGAGCATCTTTTCATGTGCCTATTGGCCATCCGTATATCTTCTTTGGAGAAATGTTCATATCCCCTGCCCATTTTTTGATTGGATTGTTTGATTTTTTGTTATTGAGCTGTGTGAGTTCTTTATATATTATGGAGATTAACCCTTTGTTGGATAAATAACTTGTAAATATTTTTTCCCAACTAGTGGGTTGTTTTTTTGTTTCAATCCTGTTTTCCCTTGCCTTGAAGAAGCTCTTTAGTCTGATGAAGTCCCATTTGTTTATTCTTTCTATTGTGTCCCTTGTCTGAGGAGTTATGGTGTCTGAAAAGATTCTTTTGAAACTGATGTCAAAGAGTGTACTGCCTATATTCTCTTCTAGAAGACTTATTGTTTCAGGTCTAATCTTTAGGTCTTTGATCCATTTTGAGTTTATTTTGGTGTGTGGTGAAAAAGAATGGTCAATTTTCATTCTTTTACATGTGGCTTTCCAGTTTTCCCAGCACAGTTTGTTGAAGAGACTTTCTTTTCTCCATTGTATGCCCTCAGCTCCTTTGTTGAAGATTAGTTGTCCATAGATGTCTGGTTTTATTTCTGGGCTTTCAATTCTGTTGCATTGATCTGTGCACCTGTTTTTGTATGAGTAGCATGCTGTTTTGATTACTGTAGCTTTGTAGTATGCTTTGAAGTCAGGGATTGTGATGCCTCCAGGTTTGTTCTTTTTTCTCAGGATTGCTTTAGCAATTTGGGGTCTTTTGTTGCCCCATATGAATTTTAGGATTCTTTGTTCAATTTCTGTAAAGAATGTCATTGGGATTCTGATTGAGATAGCGTTGAATCTGTAGATTGCTTTAGTTAGAATGGACATTTTAACTATGTTTATTCTTCCAATCCATGTGCATGGAATGTCTTTCCATCTCTTTATGTCATCATCAGTTTCTTTCAGGAAAGTCTTGTAGTTTTTGTTGTGTTGTCCACAGTTTCTTTAATACGCTTCCTTTCAAAAGGTGGATTCTAAGTACAGCCTTGAGTGTGGACTGAACGTGATGACTCACTTCTAATGAATAGCATGTGGTAGAAATGATGATGTGTCCTTCTGAGAGTAGGTCGTAAAAAGGCATTGTGGCTTCTTTGTTGTTTTCTTTCTTGGATTGCTCACTTTGGGAGAAGCCAGGGACCATGTTTTAAAGACGCTCAAGAAGGGACTCTTGTGGTGAGGAACTGAGGCTTCCTGCCAGTAATTATGTGAATGAACTTGATGACAAATATTCCAGCCCCAGTAAAGCCTACAGCCCTAGCTGGCATCTTGATTGCAAACTCATGAGAGACTGAGTCAGAACCATCCATGGAAAATGCACCCTGAATCCTGACTTAGAGAAACCTTGCAATAATAAGTATTTCTTGTTTAAGTGTTTTGGGGTAATTTGTTACAGAACATAGCTAACTGATAGAATTGTTTCATTGATTCTTTTTAATCTTTTGACTTATTACTTGCTTTCAAAACATTTTAGCCTGTACATATGCCTTTGGGGGTATATTAAGGTTCTTTTAGCATGATAAATGGTCAAGTGAAAAGTGAAATATTAGAAAATATTAGAGAAGTCTGTTCAGGGGCTGGCCCTGTGGCACAGCAGTTAAGTTTGCACGTTCTGCTTTGGCGGCCTTGGGTTCGCCAGTTCAGATCCCAGTTGCGGACATGGCACCGCTTGGCAAGCCATGCTGTGGTAGGCGTCCCACATAATAAAGTAGAGATAGATGGGCACAGATGTTAGCTCAGGACCAGTCTTCCTCAGCAAAAAGAGGGGGATTGGTGGTAGATGTTAGCTCAGGGCTAATCTTCCTCAAAAATATAAAATAAAGGCCTGTTTAGTATTATTAATTAAATTTATTCAATACTTTTTCATCTCTTTAATACAAAAAAATTGAGAAAGATTAGTTCAAAATTTGTTATCATTGTGGTTGTTAATTTCTCCTTGCTTTTATGTATTTTATTTTATATATTTCAATACAAAGTAACCTGAGTTGTGTATTTATTGTAAATTATTTTTTGTGTATAAAATTGTTTTTTATCTGTTGCTTTTGCTGTTTTTGTTAGTGTTACATATCCTCTTCTCCAAGTTGGTATTTTCCTGTTGTACTTTTTAAAAGCTTTTTCTTTTTCAAGTCTATATTTCTGATTTAGATTTAGGATGCAGGATCTTTAATTAATTTCATAGTTCTTAAATCACCACTCTTCTCAAAGGATAGTTTTCAAAATGTTAAAAATATTGCACATACAAATAAAGAAGGAATTTGTGTCAAAAATGTATGTAACTTATTAATGAGAAAACTTAGGCAGGCAAGATGGTGAAACTGGCTCAAAGAGCATCTGTGTAATTCAGTATTTATGGTCACTAAAGAGAAGAATGTTGGAATGAGATGACTAATTTAAATTCAAAATTTCTAATTATATCCCACTCAATAAAACAATAACTTTTGGGGTTATTGGTCAGAAGTCATTCACATCTCTACCTGACAAAAATTGACAAGTTATCATGTAACTTAAGCGTCTGAGCCCTAATGAATACTAAGTATCAAGAGAAACAAAAGTACATTTACATAATCCTTGGGTGGGCTTGTTAGACAGTGCTCCAGTGTGACATTGGAAGGAAATGGAATCCTTTTTTAAATTTATTGATAAGTTTTCCTAACACACACATGCGAGAAATTCCAGCTCTTAGTGACAGAGCATACAACAGTTTTGGAATGACATTATCACCATGACCACAAGTGATAGGTACCCATTTTTGGTATACAATTTGAATTTTGACTAATGTAGTTACTCAGGTAATCACCACATCAGTCAAGATACAGAATATGTCTATTATCCGAAAAAGATCATTTGGTCCTATTTTCTGTCACTATCAATCAGATTTGCTTTTCCTAGAGTTACATATAAATGTAATCTTACAGTGTATACTTGTTTGTGTCTGCCTTCTTTCCCTAAGCATATTTTTTTTTTTTTATTAATGTTATGATAGATTACAACCTTGTGAGATTTCAGTTGTACATTTTTGTTAGTCATGTTGTGGGTACACTGCTTCACCCTTTGTGCCCTCCCCCCACCCCCCCTTTCCCCGGGTAACCACCGATCAGATCTCCTTGTCAATATACTAACTTCCACCTATGAGTGGAGTCATATAGACTCTTTGTTCCATTGATCCTTTCTATTGTCTTTTTTGTTTCAATATCGTTTATTTCTGCTCTTATTTTTATTATTTCCCTCCTTCTACTGACTCTGGGCTTTGTTTGTTCTTCTTTTTCTAGTTCTGTTAGGTGTCGTTTGAGGTTGCTTATGTGAGCTTTTTCTTGTTTAGTGAGGTGAGCCTGTAGTGCGATGAATTTCCCTCCTAGGACTGCTTTTGCTGCACCCCAAATGATTTGGTATGTCGTGTTCTCATTTTCATTTGTCTCCAGATAATATTTGATTTCTTCTTTAATTTCTTCAATGATCCATTGTTTGTTCAGAAGCGTGTTGTTTAGTCTCCACATTTTTGCACCTTTCTCTGCTTTTTTCTTGTAGTTGATTTCTAGTTTCATAGCATTATGATCAGAAAAGATGCTTGATATTATTTCAACTCTCTTGTATTTATTGATGTTTGCTTTGTTTCCCAAAATATGGTCAATCCTTGAGAATGTTCCATGTGCACTTGAGAAGAATGTGTAACCTGCTGTTTTTGGATGAAGTGTTCTATATATATCTATTAAGTCCATCTGGTCTAATTTTTCATTTAATTCTATTATTTCCTTGTTGATTTTCTGTCTGGATGTTCTGTCCATTGGTGTTAATGGTATGTTGAGGTCCCCTACTATTATTGTATTGTTGTTGATGTCCCTAAGCATATTGTTTTAAAGATATACCTATGCTATTCTGTGCATTAGTTCTTTCTTTTTATTGCTGAGACGTTTTGATTGTACCTGTAGACCACAATTTATTTATCCATTCACCTGTGGATATCTTGACATTATTGAGTTTTTTAGTACCTGCTGTGTTTCTCCATTTATTTAGATCTTCTTGCTATCTCTCAGCAATGTTTTGCAGTTTTCACTGTGAACAGTACTCATTTCAAAACAAAATATGTAGGTCTCTAAACTAGTTGTTGCCAACAGGCAGAGAATATAATACAGTTAACTATTATACTTCTCTGGACATTTTTTTCAGCAGCAGTTTCTCTCTGTCTTACCTAAGGATCCACTGTCAGCTCTGTGCTCCTGATGGCCTCCCTCTCTGTTCTTCTCCATCCTTGACGCACTATGTAAATAATGGTCCCTTATTTCAAGGAAATGAGTAGTGCTCCCTTCACAGAAATTACTAAAAATGATTTTTGCTGTTTAGATGATAGGATAATATATTATGATATCGGCAGTGCCTTAATTTGGTTAAAATGACTACTACACAAATATCTTTGAAGATATACATAGTGATAAACTTAGCTTTATGATGAAGAATGGGTGCAATAATTATAATAAATTTAGCTCATGTTTGCTTTTGTATCTCAAATATATTGTGGATGGCCTTATTCACAGAAACAAAGACTGGTAAAATCAGAAGACCTAGTCTTTTCTTTTTCTTCTGTTTACCACTACTTGCTAGTAATGTGACCCTGTAATTCTTTATTGTTTTTTCTTTTTCTCCCTTTGTGTGTTCTCAGCTTTAGCTTTGTAAATGCTTATAAGTCCTTAGGGGGGAAAATTAGTAGAATAGCTCTGTGTGCCCTTTATGGAGGTGGCCACTGAGCTGGGTTTTTTGTTGTTTGTCTTTAATATGATTGTGACTTCCTGTTACTCCCTGTCTGACCCTAGTCATGGATTTGTCTAGGAGTGTGCTGGCGTTTTGGCTACCTACCCAGCTTTGCTTCCATTTGCCTGCAACTTGAGGGGATGCATAATTAATGACTATGACTTTTCTTTGTGTTCCAGCCTGAAAGAATAGACCCAAGTGCGTCGCGACAAGGATATGATGTCCGCTCTGACGTCTGGAGTTTGGGGATCACATTGGTATGTGTATGTTGACTCTATCTTGTTAGAGTAGTGTAACAAGAAATTCAGAAATGAAAGAAAATTTAATCAATCTTCCCCCCATCATAAGAACTGCTTCTTTTCTCTTCTAGTCTTTGATTTTATTTACCTCGCCCCTCCCTCCCCTGTTTATAAACACAGGGACTATATTATCTAATTGTTGGAAAAAAGCATATTTTTTACCTTAAATCAAACCAGAGTTGATTATTTCCCTTGAGGTTTTATGACATGCCTGGGGCTCTTTAATGTTGTCGCTCTGGATCTCTTGGCCACAGATGCTAGAAGCCAGCAACAACACTAAGATCAGGAACAGGGAGGCAGCTCGCCTGCAGTCATTGGGGCAGTGAAGGCGCGTCGGCTGCTCCCGTCCCCAGCAAGGGTCTTGTGTGCAGTCATACAGTGTATGGTGCCTGTGTTCGGTGTACGTGTTTATATGCGTGAGAATAGTTTCTATTGGGAATCTTCTATTCACTGAACAGGAGAGTCAAAAATGAATGAGCTGACAGTATTCAGTTGTTGAGGAACTACCTGCGTAACAATCCTAAATGAAAGTTCTACTTTAGAACAACACTGAGAGAGAATAGTAAGAATGCTACTTAATTTGCACCTAAAAAGCACAATTAAATAAACTCGTCTTTCTCACCTGTGAGCTGTATTGAAATTTTGGTTCTATTTAAAAAGTATCTTTATTTGCTTATTTCCTTATTACCAAATTTTGTTTTGAAGTTTTAGATTTATTTTCTTGTGCTGTTTTACCGGGACTTAATGACATTTTTGGACAGCTTCTACAGCTTCTTCAACATTTGATGTGAATTTTCTATCACTAGATGGGGCTGTGTCCTGTTTGATAGGCAACCCAAAACTTTTCCTTCCATTTTCCTCCCATCTTCAATACAACCCCACAGCCCAGAGTTAACACTGATTCAGAGCAATGAACTTTTTTGTAGCTTATTAAATAATCTCCATTTCTTCATTGCATTGTATGGTCCTAGGATCCTCTTCCGATACATCGGAATCACATACCCTTTGTAGTTAGCCTTGGTGGGTCATGTTGCCAAGCCTAGTGAATTCTCTCTGTAAGAGAGTGGCAGGCTAATAGTTCACCTCGGCAGAGGACTCCGTTGAGTTTCGCTTGTGACCAGATATGGGCGATGCCTCCTGGAGTCTCCTCTCATTGTGAATCAGCTGACTAAAGGGGAAGGAATCCCTTCCTCATAGTCAGGACAGAACATGGAACTTGGGCATATTTTCGGTCTGCTGACTGTTCCAAAGACTGCAGCAGGACCTCTAGCTTCTAGCTGAGGCTACTGCTTGGTGTAAGGGATCTTCATGATTCAGAAATACCTACCTCTGACCAAGCCAGCTATGTTTAAAAAGGAAGCATTTACTTCAGTCTAAAAACAAAATTTTATTCTGTGAAAGGTTTTAACTTACAAATTTTTTCAGCAAGTTCCTTTAGTATATCTGGCTAAACTTTGTTTAAAATCAAATTCAGTACTTACAATTGCTTCATAATTTATTTTTGATATAGATAATCTTATAAAAATTATAAGAAATGTGTGAAATTAATTTCTAAGATCCTGTCCTTTGCCTTATGATGTGTTCCTACTTTTTCCCTCTCTTATTAAAACCTGTTCTCAAGATTGAATCTAATCAAGTTATTCTTAATGCTGTGAATAACCAGGAAAGTTTACTTCTTCCAAAGCATTTGTATTTTAATCAAAAAGAAACTTCAGCGAAAAGAGTGATTTCTGTGTGTGTGCTTGCATGTGTGCCTGCCTTCTCACAGGCGTAGGTGCAGAATTGGAGACAGCGGTGAGCTGAGGAGGCATCTTTCGGGGAAGAAGGCCTCCCCACACCAGCCGTCTATTTCAAGATGGGTTCATGTTTGCTTGACAGCTTTCCTTTCATTGTATAAGCTAGTAATTTAATATTTGACCAGCTTGACAAGATTGAATCTAAGCTGAAGAAAGTCTGAGACAGTGTTCTCAGATGGTGCTTTCTTTCTCTCTTACATGCCATTTTCCTCTCTGATAAGTTTGAAGTCTCATCCTCATATATTGATCACCTGTCAATGCACATAAAATGGGATTCATTTAGGCCACACTGCAAATTTAGATATATTTCCTGGAAAAAGCACAATTTCCAGGTTTTCATTATTCTCAGAATAGGGAGGGAAAAAGATGAGAATACTATTCACAAATATTTTTGACTCTTGACAGATTGGGACATGCCTCTGTGAGACTCTTCAAGTCTGGTGTGCTATCCTTTAGAAATATTATCCTGAGCATTGTTATTAGGATTTAGGGTGCAGGGTTTGACCCTGACTTGATTTCTTCAGAAATAGTACTTTCAGGTTGTGGTTGAAATTGTAGTAACTACAGAATAGCTGTGGATCAGGATTTGCACGTTGTTTCCTTTCAGCTCAGATTGGGCTTTTGTTTGTTGAGTGTTCTTTTACCTTACAAAAGAATTTGACCACTTTTCTGGACCATGACCTCCTGTTCAGATGACTATAAATTGTGCAGACTTTGTACTAAAAAAGTTCTAAAACCAGCCTTCCAGAATCTCTCATACAAATGATTCAGAACCACAGGCTGCCCTGAAGCATGCACTGTAGGGACATTGTCACGGTTTAAATTTGGTGTTTCTCTTAGGTCTTAGTCCTTGAATTTGGTTGATACAGAAAACTCTGTATTATCCTGATTTCTAAATATCACCTGCACCTATCCTAAATAATTCATAAGATTCTGCCTCAGCCTGATCTGGGTTTGATTCAAGGCTCTTTCAAGACTTTTGGAGGTTGAATTTTCAACATGGCCATTCCACTGAGAAGCAGTAAATAATGCCTGGTGTGTTCTGCTTTTTCGTCTGTGTTCTCTTTAGTACGAGTTGGCCACGGGCCGATTTCCTTATCCAAAGTGGAATAGTGTATTTGATCAACTAACACAAGTCGTAAAAGGAGATCCTCCACAGCTGAGCAATTCTGAGGAAAGAGAATTCTCCCCAAGTTTCATCAACTTTGTCAACTTGTGGTGAGTACGTGATTTATGCATACTCAAAAACCTGAGAACAGTGAGGTTTACTTAATCTTAGCAACTTTGGGACTTTGCGCCAGGGAAGGGGAGCCACCTTCTTATCCCCCGGCCTTCTAAGCTGGGACTGTGGATCACTGTGCTACATGGAAGGTTCCAGCTAACCTGGAGAAGTTTCACTCTCTTATGCTACTGCTCAGGTACTGATGAAAAATAGATGTGGGTGGTGGAGAAGCTGCTGCCTCCAGATTTCTAGTACCTTATACAAGAAAGACGGCCTACGTGAGACTGATCATCTTATTCTGATAGGGTTCTCACAATCAAACTGTACCAGAAGCTTTTATTAAGTCAAGACCCTACCGGCTCAGACTTTCAGGGGTGGATCACAGCTCTGACGTAACATATAACCTAGTGGGTGTGTGTAATAAAGGCAGGCCCAAAGCTCCACTGGTAGAGCTGTATATTGGCTCTCTGAAAACTTATTCCAAAGAAGGAGTGAACCCCACACCTGTTGATGTTGTTTGTGCACCTTTTTAACAGTTGTGTGTGTATGTATGTGTGTAGCACATAGGAATAAATATATGCGGATATGGCAATAATAAAGTCATGCTTTGTACTGTTTCAATCTGTTTGCTTTGTACTGTTTCAATCTATTTAAATAAATCCTTGTGTTGTTATTTGAATGTTTTAGGTAATTATTCTATTTTTCCAACATGTTTCAAGAATAGGATATGTTTATAAGCAAAAAGCCAGAGCATTTAGTATATCCTCTTTTCATTCCTGAAAATGCTTTTCTCTTCCACGTAATTTTTTTTTTTTGCCGTGAATGCTGTTCCTGTCTATACTTTCTAGGTTCTATAGGACTTATATTTCATGGGCTAGCATTGCCTTCTTTTCTGATAATTAGAAAACATTTGAACTCTAGTTTTCAAGTCCCTTTTGTCTTCTCTAACCAAATTCTAGCTTTATGTTGGTTTTCAGAAGGGAGAGGAATACCTCAAGATTTTCTTGGTAGAAGACCATAGGATAACTCGAACTGGCTGCTGCTTCCTTTTTAAAAACAATCTATTTTTACCAATTTGCACATGTGTATACAGTTTATATAATTACATACATGTGACCATTTTATATATTACATTTTAATGAAATATTTGGTTAAAAGAATCTGTGTGAGTCATAGAGCATATCTAAAATGATTACCTGTGAGGCCTCCAGCAGGTTTGCTTTCTTCTTAATTCCTTGATCTCTTTATCAGTTTTGTTTTATAAATGTGTAGTGCTGGTATGTTTTTTGTTTCTGTGTCCCTTGGTGCCAGTTCTCTCCCGTAGATAATGGTTATAGACATCAGTGTCCCATTGTTTTCTGAGTAGCATCGTATTTCCATCTCATTCCAAATCATTATTGTCTACAGTTAAATTCTATCTGTTTTTATGATCTGTTCCTATCAGTTCTCCACATTGGTTCATTCTCCCTTCCACTGTCCTTAGGCATTTTTTGTCATCTCTAACCTGGACCATTTAGGTTTCTAATTGGTTTCCTCACAATCCAGTATAGCCTTGTTTCAAACCATTTTCCTTTTTGTCAGAGTTGTATTTTTTATGATGTTTATCTTTTTTCCTTTCAATGATCAATTAACGAATTAAGGGGTTTTTTTATTGCAGTGACATTGGTTTATAACAGTATATAAATTTCAGGTGTACATCATCATATTTCAATTTCTGTGTAGATTACATCATGTTCACCACCCAAAGACTACTTACAGTCCATAACCACACACGTGTGCCTAATCATCCCTTTCGCCCTCCTCCCTCCCCACTTCCCTGTGGTAACCAAGAATCCAATCTCTGTCTCTATGTGTTTTTTTGTTGTTGTTTTTATCTTGTGTTTATGAGTGAGATCGTACAGTATTTAACTTTCTCCCTCTGACTTATGTCGCTTAACATAATACCCTCAAGGTGCATCTATGTTGTCACAAATGGCCAGATTTCATCCTTTTTTATAGCATAGTAGTATAAGGTTGTGTATACATACCACATCTTCTTTATCCATTCATCCCTTGATGGGACCTAGGTTGCTTCCAAGTGTTGGCTATTTTGAATAATGCTGCAGTGAACATAGGGGTGCAAGTATCTTTACATATTTGTGTTCTCATGTTCTTTGGATAAATACCCAGCAGTGGAATAGCTTGATCATATGGTAGTTCTATTCTTAATTTTCTGAAGAAACTCTACACTGTTTTCCATAGTGGCTGCACCAGTTTGCACTCCCACCAGCAGTGTATGAGAGTTCCCTTCTCTTCACATCCTCTCCAACACTTGTTGTTTTCTGTCTAGTTAATTATAGCCATTCTGACCAGAGTGAGGTGATGTCTCATTATAGTTTTGATTTGCATTTCCCTGATAGTTAATGATGTTGAACATCTTTTTCTTGTGCCTATTGGTCATCTGTGTATCTTCTTTGGAGAAATGTCTGTTCAGATCTTTGGACATTTTTTAATTGGGTTGTTAGTTTTTTAATTGTTGAGATGTTTGTGTTCTTTATATATTTTACATATTAACCCCTTATCAGAGGTATGGTTTGCAAATATCTTCTTCCAATTGTTAGGTTGTCTTTTTGTTTTGTTGATGGTTTCCTTTGCTGTGCAGAAGCTTTTTAGTTTGATGTAGTCCCATTTATTTATTTTTTCTCTTGTTTCCCTTGCCCAGTCAGACATGGTAGTAGAAAATATGCTGCTAAGACTGCTGTCAAAGAGCATACTCTGTATGTTTCTTTCTAGAATTTTTTATTTTTTTGGGGAAGATTAGCCCTGAGCTAACTGCTGCCAATCTTCCTCTTTTTGCTGAGGAAGACTGGCCCTCAGCTAACATCCATGCCCATCTTCCTCAGCTTTATATGTGGGATGCCTCCCACAGCATGGCGTGCCAAGTGGTGCCATGTCTGCACCCAGGATCTGAGCCGGCAAACCCCGGGCCGCCGAAGCGGAATGTGTGCACTTAACCACTGCGCCACTGGGCCGGCTCCTCCTTCTCGAATTTTTATGATTTCAGTTCTTACATTCAAATCTTTAATCCATTTTGAGTTAATTTTTGTGTATGGTGTAAGATAATGGTCTACTCTCATTCTTTTGCTTGTGGCTGTCCAATTTTCCCAACACCGTTTATTGAAGAGACTCTCTTGGCTCCCTTGTCTAAAATTAGCTATCCATAGACGTGTGGGTTTATTTCTGGGCTCTCAGTTCTGCTCCACTGATCTGTGTGTCTTTTTTTGTGGCAGTACCATGCTGTTTTGATTACTATAGCTTTGTGTAGTACATTTTGAAATCAGGGAGTGTGATACCTCCAGCTTTGTTGTTTTTTCCTAGGATTCCTTTGGCTATTCAGATTCTTTTGTTGTTCCATATAGATTTTAGGATTCTTTGTTCTATTTATGTGAAAAATGTCATTGGGACTTTGATAGGTATTGCATTGAATCTGTAGATTGCTTTAGGGAGTATGGACATTTTAACTATGTTAATTCTTCCAAACCAAGAGCTTGGAATATCTTTCCATTTCTTTGTGTCTCCTATTTCTTTCAGCAATGTTTTATAGTTTTCAAAGTACAAATCTTTCACCTCTCTGGTTAAATTTATTCCTAGATATTTTATTCTTTTTGTTGCAATTTTAAATGAGATTGTATTCTTAATTTCTCTTTCTGCTGCTTCATTCTTAGTGTATAGAAACACAGCTGATTTTCGTATATTGATTTTGCATCCTGAAACTTTACTGTATTCATTTATTATTTCTAAATTTTTTTGGTGAATTCCTTAGGGTTTTCCATATATAAAATCATGTTATCTGCAAATAGTGGCAATTTCACTTCTTCCTTTCCAATTTGGAGCCCTTTTATTTCCTTTTCTTGCCTGATTGCTCTGCTAGGACTTCCAATATTATGTTAAATGAGTGGTGACAGTGGGCATCCTTGTCTAGTTCTTGTTCTTAGAGGGATAGCTTTCAGTTTTTCTCCATTGAGAATGATATTAGCTGTGGGTTTGTCATATATGGCCTTTATTATGTTGAGGTACATTCCTTCTATATCCATTTTCTTCAGAGTTTTTATCATAAATGGATGCTGCATCTTGTCAAATGCTTTCTCTGAGACAGTGATGTGATTTCTTTGTTTTGTTAATGTGGTGTATCACATTGATTGATTTGCAGTTGTTGAACCAGCTCTCCATCTCTGGAATAAATCCCACTTGATCATGGTGTATGATCTTTTTAATGTATTGTTGTATTCGACTTGCTAGTATTTTATTGAGGATTTTTACATGGATGTTCATTAGTGATGTTGGCCTGTAATTTTTCTCTTTTTGTGTTGACCTTCTGTGTTTTGGTATCAGGATAATATTGGCTTTGTAGAATGAGTTAGGAAGCTTCCCCTCCTGTTCAGTTTTTTGGAAGAGTTTGAGAAGGATAGGTATTAAGTCTTCTTTGAATGTTTGGTAGAATTTACCAGGGAAGCCGTCTGGTTCTGGACTTTTATGTTTTGGAAGGTTTTTGATTACTGTTTCAATCTCCTTACTGGTGATTGGTCTATTCAAATTCTCTCTTTCTTCTTGATTCAGTTTTGGAAGTTTGTATGATTCTTAGAATTTACCCATTTCTTCTAGAGTATCCAGTTTGTTCGTGTATAGCTTTGCATAGTTTTCTCTTATAATCTTTTGTATTTCTGAGGTGTCCATTGTAATTTCTCCTTTTTCATTTCTGATTCTATTTATTTGAGCCTTCTCTCTTTTTTTCTTGGTGAGTCTAGCTAAGGGTTTGTCAATTTTGTTTATCTTTTCAAAGAAGCAGCTCTTCATTTCATTGATTGTTTTCTAGTTTCTTTTTAGTCCCTATTTCATTTATTTCTGCTCTGATTTTTGTTATTTCCTTCCTTCTACTGATTTCAGGCTTTGTTTGTTCTTCTTTTTCCAGTTCCTTTAGGTGCACTGTTAGATTGTTTATTTGGGATTTTTCTTCTTT